TCTCACAGACTCTGGATGTAAAGAGGAGCTTTGAAGCATGAAAGGTGAACAGGAGGCGGGCTCTGCTCCGTCTCTGCCCCGCAGGCATGCACACGCCCTGGGGGTCAAACTGACAAACACGCTGGGCTCTCCTCCGCCCCTGTCTGCTGCTTCTGCTGCTGAACACACCTCACCAGATAGTGTGCAAAGAATCACATAAATAACAGAGAGCTGCTGTCTTCTGATTACAGGCTCCACAGGCACAGATATTGTCAGGGTTGAGACTTTTAATCTGCAGGATGTGTTTAAATGTGAGCCACAGGTAAAAACAGGGAGCTGCTGTCACTCACTTTGATTGACAGGTCTTTAAACACTAAACAACAGATAAGTCAAACATTCACCTTGAGTGAGACCTATACCCCAGCTGATGTGAGCAGGCTCCATGTTTCTGATGACTTTATATTCTATCATATGTTCCTAGAGACCTCTCCTATGTGGAAACGCCACCTCGCGCCAGACTCCGTTAAGAAATTGCATCATTTAACGTGATCTCGCTTATCGTCGAGGGTCAGTGTCTCCTGATCCTCATTTAAGCGATTTGCTCTGAAGTTCAAAGCCTTTTAGTAAATTCGGGGTATCAATTGACCATGAATTTCAACTAAGTTTCTATAACTTTATTTTGTTTCCGCCGTCTGACACGGCTCGTCTGTTTTCCTGCCGTCATGTCCGCTGACAGTCAAAGAGCTCGATTTGTTGAACTAGTCTGATTTTAAACCATAATGTATGCCGAATTCATCACTTAGTCACACTGTAACCTAACATGGAAGTATTATATTAATCAGAAATTAAATGAGCAACGATTACCACGAAAAGATAAAACAGTCATATTTTAAATGGGATTTGGCAGCACTGGAGGAAGCGCGCATTGACGGTGCTGATCGTAACTTGGGAGTGTGATCATAATTTTAGTTTATCCGTTTGTATTTTTGAATCTTTTTCTCTTTTTCTCCCAATCTCCCATGAGACTGTTCGCGGTTTTCCTGCAGCGCGTGCTTACCTGAGAGGAGACCGACACAGAGGACATGGAGACCGGCGTCTGTCTGCTGCGTCCCGAGGATTTAGTGCGATGATACCGGCTCTTCTTCAGCACACGTCCGCGTCAGGCTGCCTGGGTCTCCTCCGACGAGTAAGTGTGTGAGTGTGTGTGTAGTAATAGCGAATCAGGCCCGTCCGTGTCTCCTCTGAAAGAATAAAGAGGAGGGCTGAAAGGGAAGTCTGGCCCGGGGCCCTTCAGACCCCCGGGGGGCAGGATTAGGATGCAATAACGCGGCCGGTTTGTTCTCTTCTCTTCTCCCGCCCGGACTCGTTACTCGTTGCCCCGCCTGCAGAGCTCCTCCGCCAGGGAGCTGAGCGATGATTTATCCGGAGAATCAAACATCCATCAGCGGCGTGAGCATTATTCTGTGTCCTCAGCAGAGTCTTCAGTGTGTCCTCCTGTCCGCACTGCGCTCCCCCCCCCTCCTCCTCCCGGTCTGCTCCTGTATTTTAACATCAAACATCCCTCCGGCTCTGGAGCCAAATGACGTCTATCGTCATGCATTCTGCCGCTCCAGCAGCCGCAGGCACAATGCGCCATTTCAATTATCGCGCGCTGCTAGATGGAGATGTGCGCCGCGAGGCTGCGCGCACAGATCCGGTTTATTCTGCTCATCTGTCTGCATAATGTGTCCTTCTGTTCTGTCTGCTGCTGCTCAGAGAGACGAAAGGAGAGACATTCAGGAGAAGTCCGGTCCTCCTGCAGAACCATTTTGAGTCCGCGCCTTTACGCAGAGAGTGCTGCTGACTGTCACCTTCATCCTCACACACACACACACACACACACACACACACACACACACACACACACACACACACACACACACACACACACACACACACACACATACACATACACACACACATACACACACCCACAGTCTCCTCTAAATCAATCCCTTCATCATCTGTGTGTCAGCTGCTCTCAGCATCGATCTGATCAAACTGATGAATGATACTAAATAAATAAAAGTTAGTCAGGAGGTCAGGGAGGGTTCTGCTCCTCACCTCCATCTCCTTAAAGAAACAGTCACCTGTTTTATAAATGCATGACTTTCTGGTTTTATATAAGATATAATAAATATTCTGATTTTAGTTAAGCTGAAATCCGCGTCATGTCGTCTTTGATCTCTTCAGACTGAAAGCTTTGTGAATTGAGATAGAAAAGGATAATTATTCAGACTTTAATGATTCACTTTAAAGGAGCAGTATGAAGGATGTAGTGCCACCTAGTGGTGAGTGTACAGACTGCACCCAGCTGAGCTTCTTCACCTAACATGCAGGAGACCTCATGCTGGCCCTCAAAGGCTGAACTAGTGTTTGGTTTATCTGGGCCACCGTAGATAAACCAAACTGATGTAGATGTAAATAAAGCCTTAAACTTGAATTTTCTCTCTCATCAGGCTTTTATTCTGAAAAAATGACACAAAGAAAGAGCTGAGAGTCAAAATAAAACTCTGTTTATACTGAAGTTTAAGTCAGTGTTCACCCCCCCCCCCTCCCCCCTTGGTGTACTGTACTCGGGGTTTCCCTGTGAAGGCCTGTGATAGAACAGGGGCTGATGGGAAACTGATGTGTGTAATTGAGGTCAATGACACGAAGACTTGCTTTAAAGAGGCGCTGAACCCACACACGCACTCACTGACACACACGGCCGCAGGCAGCCCCCCAGCAGATGTAACCAGCAGAGTGTGTGGATTCTCTCTAATTAAAGAAAGCCTGCAGTTACTTTAATTAGATGAAAACGAGGAATCATGTTCAGAATTTAAAGATTTAAATATCTCCTAAACGTGCCCGAGGTGCTCGCCGCTCTCTGTGGAATCTATGATTTCAACACATCCGGGTGTTTAGACCGTGTGTAGGAGTTTGTCTGCAAATTTGAAACAAGAAATGACCGAATATTTGGTACGTAGGAATTCTTTTAATGTTGCCGTGAAACAGATGTAAAAATCTGGTTCAAAAGCGACCCTGTGACGATGATGATGATGAGGAGGGTGAGGATGATCATCAATGCTGTGAGGTCCCCTGGATGCTGTGAGGTCTCATGACTGCTGTGAGGTCCCCTGAATGCTGTGAGGTTCCCTGATTGCTGTTAGGTCCCCTGAATGCTGTGAGGTCCCCTGAATGCTGTTAGGTCCCCTCTCAATCAATCAATCAATTTTTATTTGTATAGCGTCAACTCATAACAAGTGTTATCTCGAGACACTTTACAAAAGAACAGGTAAAAAGACCTTACTTATTGCTATATTACAAAGACCCGGCCTATCCATCATGAGCACTTTAATAAAGCAGCAAAAGTTACAGTGGTAAGAAAAAACTGCCTTATTAAAAGGCACGGAGACACACAGATGTTTACATCATGCAAACAGCTGTTTGTGTGTGTGTGTGTGTGTGTGTGTGTGTGTGTGTGTGTGTGTGTGTGTGTGTGTGTGTGTGTGTGTGTGTGTGTGTGTGTGTGTGTGTGTGTGAGATACAGAGGAGAATTGAGACTGAGCAGCAGCAGTGATGTTTCCTCTTAGGCCGTCTCTGTAAGACAAAGACATGGAGGGTTGGGGGGGCAGTAGATTTACCCTTCGGGCATGTAGAGCGAGACTCCTGAGAATCTATGGAGAGGTGACAGACACACTGAGGCGACTCAGACACAAAGAAGTCTTTGTTCCTAAACCTCCTGAAATCCAGATCAGATTTAACTTGATCAGTCTGTGTCCTCATCTCAAGGTAAATCAAAAAATACAACAACTTACTAATTGTGTGCAAACATGGCCACCAGGTAAGAATAAAAACAAGGAACCAAGGTCATAGTAAATATATCATGACTACCCAACATCAGGCTCAATCATATAAATATGAATGTTTGAAGCCTGAGTGACGTCCTCCGTCTGTTCCTGCAGGGGGCGCTGGAGTCCCATCGATGGCGGTCTCCATGCTGGAAATGCTGTCTCAGTCTAACTTTCAGTCAACCTAACGACAGGCTGAGAGCTGGAGCTGAGGCGGGTTTTAAGCCTCCTGACAAACCGTTACACCGCGTCCACCTGTCAATCATCTCAGCTGCACGCCTTATTGTGAATAACTCTCATCCTTCATCAAATCAAAACTGATGAGTCATCAAAACATTCACCCCCCGTACAGTGTGTCGATCGAGACATGAGCTAATCAGACCTATTTGTTTTTTGAACCAGGCTGTAAACATGTTAATCTCTGCTGTAAAAACAGCATGTCAGCTATGCTCCTGTGAACCCAGGAGTCCAGTTGCTCATGGCTGCACTTATGCTTTGGAAACAGACCCAGTGGGCTCGGGCCAAGCCCCCCAGGAATTGCGCCGACCGTTGAAGCCAATTTGACATGGTGGCTGAACCTGGTATTGCAGCGCCTTGTGTTAAATTGGGCCAAAAATCATTTTTCCCACAAGCTTACATTGGGAAAGAGATGTCTATAAACCAGAAGATTACATTATTCTTTGCTTCATGCGCCACTGAGCAGCTTTATGGGAAGGAACAAGGCTCCGCCTCCAATGCTGTATCCAATCTGCAATACGTACATGGGTAGGACGCACGCCATTAGATAGAAGAAAACCACGGGCAGCTTAAGATAAGACATTATTGTCCATTAGCACAGACATTTATCTTTCATTACAAGCTCAGAAATCTTCAAATCACAATCACATCACATCGCAGGTAGAGCAGAGCATGAAAACATCTTAAGTTACATTAAAAATCACAGCGTGGAATGAAGAGTGCATCAATTGTGTTCCATCAGACTTGCTACAGAGCTCCTGGTCGCCTCCCTTTGGAGGACTTCTGGACACGTCCAACTGGGGGGGTGGTGTAGACCTTGAGCCTGCTGGTCTGGGGATGCCTCAGATCCCCCAGAAAGAGCTAGAAAAGGTTGCAAAGGAACCTGCTGCCACCGCAACCTGACCTGGATATCAATCAGAACTTACAATGTAAGAAACAAACATCAGATCTTTAAATGTGTCAAATGTTCAACCTCCACAACCCAAACCAATAATCTTTTCTGTGATTCTTGTTTATCTGCAGTTTGAAAACAACAGTTTGAATCAACTCATCTCTGAGGATATAAACAGACGAGCATTATGTAAAGTATGTTAATCACAAACCCAGGTGTCAAGCTGCAGGTGAGATGGCAGTGTTAAGGCGTCAAGGTCGTCCAAAGGTCATCAGGACTGATCAATAAAAAGACTAACTTTAATTCTTCCTCTTCGTAACAGACGGTTGTAAACACACAGTTTTTGTGAAGAGAAAATTACGAAACAGGAAGGAGAAACACGTCCTCTTCTGTTTCACACTCAAACTGCAGTGTCTCAAAGTGAACCTTCAGCTCGGGTTCAGAGTCTGGAGGAAAAAGACTTCTATTAAATGATGTTGAAGCCGTTCAGTGAAACTTTGTCTCTGACTTCCTGCTCATCTGGCATCTTAATGTGGACGTGTAAACTGTAACAGAAGTCATTACAGGGAACAAAGCTGAAGGTGCTTCTTTTCTCTCAAACTAGAAAATGTGAAACATTTGACAAATCCCTTGAGTCAGAGACCCAACAGCTCCACTCCTCATGGCTTTAAAAGACAAAGAAAATACACACTGTAGTACATCTTTACGTCCACAGGGGGGTGTCAGGTATGTTCAGAATAAAACCAAACAGGATGCCATGTTCCTGTCACACCAGCTGCATTATGGGTAAATAGAGAGCTCCCAGGAGTCCAGCTGTTTAAGAGGTCCAGGTTCAACATGGCTTCAGAGCATTGTTCTTAGTGCAGGTCTTGGAGGGGTTTGGGGAAGTCAAACATCTCGTAGTCGATGCGGTAGAAGTCGTAGACTCCCTGCCTCTCAGTGGCGTTCAGCTGGGAGAAATATTTCTTCATGATGGAGGAGTGCGTCCTCTCGTCCTCAGGGTTTCTGTCCTTATAGTCGGGGTAGCTGAGGTTCTGTGGTGCTCCGATGCTCCGCAGCAGGAAGTTGGCTTCACTGTTCATGTTCTCAAACTTGCCGATGAAGTCATACTGGATCACACAAGGTGGACACAGAGTGCTCATCTTTGCCCAGTGGATGTCATTCCCCACTGGACGTTGCGGGTCCAGCAGGTAGTGCACAAACTCCCTGAAGGTGACACCATCACCGGTGCGCAGGGCTTCTTGTGAGGGTTGGCGCGGTACCTGGAGATGATGGGCCGTCCAAACAGAGAATGGTAGTAATCGTTTTTATTCTCAAACTTGTCTCGATATGCTGACACCACGCTCAAAGGATCCCTAACAAACAGCACCTTGGTGTAGGTGTTCAGCCTCTGGTTGATGCCCTTTGGGCCGTATTCCTCCAGTTTCCGCAGTTTGTTTTTGAAGTGTGCCGTCACATGAGGGATGTTGAGTACAGAGGTGGCTCGGCCTGCCAGAACCATCAGCACCCGCTTCCAGTTGGAGCAGCCGACTTTGGGAACCTCACAGTACAGCAGCCTGGACTTGTCCTCCACATGGATCATAGACATGTGTGTTTTGGAGACAACCTGTCCCAGGAGCCCAGCTGGTATTTGGAGCAGATGTTGCCAGCACCTGGTGCCGTAACTCCTGCTTCAGCACCAGCTGCTGCAGTCCCTCCTCCCATCCAGTATGAGTGCTGTTACCTGCAGAGGTGTTTTTCAGACGTTCTGTGACGAGAGAGTGGTGTGCTCGTCATAAGAGATGCGATCAGAGAGGAGATATGTGAGGCTGTTGGATCGTCTGCCTCGTCC